ATCTGTGCCTGTTAAAAGCCATGTGACCTCAGGCAAATTATCTAGCTTTCCAGAATCTACGTAATAGGACTGTTAGGACTGTTAGGAAACAAGTGCTATATGTTAGTATGTTAATTATTTAGCACAGGGCCTGGCACATCTTAAGTGTTCAGAAAATAGTAGCCATTATTATAATATTTATGACTGGGGAAGACTTCATTCATACAGTATATACTGAGTTAGGCCGTGAAGTATGAATAGAATAGACATAAAAACTATAGGACAGAGGAGAAGCCATCAGTCAGAATATAGAATAAGGTATGAAGAATGTTCAGTAGGATTAGACTCTAGGGGAGCAGAGGGAAATAAAGGCTAGCAAGTAAAGCTTGAGGCTGGAGTGTGGAGAGACCAAGATATCCTCTACAACCATGCTGTCTTTCTTACCATATAAATGCAATTTTAATGCTATTGCACTAGAAGCTTTCAAAATTGATATGTAAAAAAAAAAAATCATTTCTACAGGAATGATGAGTACTTACTTGCTGAAACTGAAGAGTGCATAAAAGATGCAACACAAAACAAGAATATATGAATATGATGTAAAATCCCTGCATGTTTTTTATGGAATATTGAATGCAGTAGATAATATAAATTATGATTTGCATAATCAATGAACCCTACAATTCTTTGTAAAGCTTACCTACCTTTTCCTCTTTAGAAAGACAAAATAATTGAAACCTCACTCATTTAAAGAAAGGGAAAAATGGACCTGTGCTATGATGACAAATCTCATAGCGTCCATCAACACTGCTCCAAAATGACTGCCGTCTGACCCTCCCACCTTAGGCATTTTCTAACTTACTAATTAAGCTAGGAAACCTGGCTGAACGTGGATCTCATATCTTTGAAAAGATTTATAAAACCTCAGAATATTATAACATAGTACTTATCCATTTGAGAAATTACACAGAATAAGTAAAATCAACAAAAAATAGAATTCTTAATAGAGCCTTCCTTACTTAAACTCCACATCAATACATATTTTATGCAACTGGAAGATTTCAGATATGTAAATATGCTGGTTTCTCCACTAAGAACTTCATGACTTTGGGCAACTTCTTTGGGCCTTAGTTTCCTGAAGTATAAGAAGGAGTGGCCAGGCCCATCTATAAGATCCCTCTCAGCTGATACATAATTCTAAAGTTCAAACAAATCTCTTTAGAAAATAATGTTTAATTATTGGAGAAGGGGGGAATACTGTTATTAATCCAACTACATAACCTATTATTAAAAGTCTAGAAGTATTAGGGTAAAAGTAAATCAAAGTATATTATATTAAAATGATGATGCATACAAAAGGAATTCTTTTTCTTTTTAAGACAGGAAGTCTTTATTTCTATTTGATAAGCCTGTGGGTTGACTTTATTCCACCGCACAAATACAGTTTTCCTTTGAGTCACCCTTTTCTCATTAAACAGTCCTGCCTTGGCGTACTGTGTGTTTTCCCTTTTATTTATTTTTTTAGGAATTAATTCTTAACATCAACCATTTGATATCATTTTTTTTTTAAAAAAATGAAAGAAAAGAGAAAAAAGAATGTTACCCACACAAAACCACTGATGATTCAGTTTGATTTCCTAAGCAAGAAAAATGCTGAATGTATTATCATAACAAGCAAGAACACAATATTAAAGGCAAATATAACACAAAATGCTACACTATCATAGCTATGAAAAAAGAAAGACAGCAATGATAATTAACATAACACAAGTACATTTTTTATCTTAATAAATTTTATCCATTCTGCAGTCTTGGAAAAATGCGGCACTGTCTAACTGCTCTTTTCCCTCCTTGCTCTATGTTAAAGTGTCAGTGTCTTCCTCAACCATCATGGTGAGCAGTTTTAAAGAGCGTTCTTAACTTCTAGTCTCTAACCTTGAAAGTGTTTATTTCATTTAACTGGCTTCAGAAAAGATTCATATTCCCTTCTTCAGCTTCTCCCATCACAGAATGGCAAAAGAATAAAGGTTGACTATAAATAATAAACATTTCGCATACTAACAAAGAGCAGAAATCCAAATTTTCTATGTATTTTTCTTAGTATTTAAGCAAAAAAAAAATAGCATGATCTTTAAATGAAAAACTGTTTTTTTCTAACCTGGGTTCTGCAACATTCTACCACAGACCTACAAATTCAGTACAATTGTTCAGGAACTCTCCCGAGAGCTATACTAAAAATGAAGTGAATAAATTCCACTGTTCCAGACAGAAAAATGAAAATGATGATTTCACAGATGTCCCCAGAATATTCATTTCTCTGTAAATAACAATAATGTTTAAAAAAATGACAATCATATTTAAGAATGAGAAGAAAGTTAAATTTGCCAAAACCCATTCCTAAAACACGTGATGACTGTTCAGTAGATAAAATTCAGCAAATAGAATCGAGGCCCCCAAAGTTGTAAACAAAATATAGAGCGCTCTTTTGTTCATGACATGTCATGAACAAATTACCAAAATGTGTTTTCTCCTCAGGTGTCAGCTTTTCCCTCTGTTAGTGACTGATGGCTCCCAGTGTTATTACAGAAACAGATTGATCTTTTTAATGAGCCAGTTTAATAGACTCCAAAATCTCACCGTGGCTGCTCATCCATGTCAGACCATATGCACCAACAAAACATTCAGTAAAACAAAAAAAGCTCTGCTGTCAGACAGCTCCATACTCTATAAAATTTCATATAGTAGATATGGATATACAGATAAATAACAAGAGAAGAGGAAAATGCATATGCAAACAAGATACAGAAAGTATATGCAAAAAAATACTGTAGCGGGCCATATTTTCTTGGCTCTGATCAAATTCCCACAAGATACAAATGTATTTACACAACATATTCTCATTACCCTTCCGCCTAACTCTGAGGAAACCCATTTGCCATCTTTCCATTATAACACATACTTCAGTGTCCCACTTCAAAAAGAGTGATCCATCCAAAGATCAACTGTGTGAATCCTGACTCTACCAACTGCCTGTGAATAACCAAAAGGAGAGTAAGATTGAGGACTCTTTTCAGAGTTCTACCTGACTGAATGCATACCTACAATGCACATACAACTACAGATCATCAAAACAAGAATGCTGAGTATCTGTGGAATTCAATATGAAATTTTCCTATCGATATGTTAGCATCTTGCTCAGAGCTTACCTAAGGATTGCCCAAGGAAAGTCTAAAGTCATGGCATATTCAAATACAAAATACTGTTAAAGAGCCAAGGGGGAAATGGCTGTAAATACAGGTAAATGAATGAAACAAGCTTTCGTATTGCCTGTTCCCAGTTATTTAGCAGTTAAGATTTCTAGAATAAGTTGTATCCATTTCTAATTTTGCCTGTAGGATTATCTTTGCATTTATCATAGCTATCCAAACCTTTCTCTATAACCCTCTCTTCCTAAACCCCAAATAAATTTTATTCTTTCCCAATTTTCTATCTAGTCTCTAATTCTTTTATCATGTTATCCTAGAAAAATATCAATACCTGCACCCAGTACTAATTTTACACAGGATAAATGGGTTAGGATCAGACAGGAATGTGCATTGTCTATTCTTAGGCCACTTCTTGTTTCTGGCATCATGTGGATAGGCAACTCAGGCACCTGGACTAAGCAGTTCTCTTTAAAAGCTGAAGTACCAAATGCTCTATTCACTCTTAAGTATGACCAAGAAAGTATGATTTGCAAGAATAAGAAAGTAACACCATTTGTAGGTCATATACGAAGATGAGTATACAATAAGTCACAAGTAGACTAATGTTTAACCTTTTGTTTTAATAATACAAAACTATCAAGAGAAGGTCCTATCTCAAGAGGGACAAAATTCTAGAGATTGTCGTATAAAAACTGCTTAACAGAGGATTACATAGTAACAATATGTAAACTGGCTGGCTTTTAATAACATTCTGATTAGCAAAGCAGCTAATACATTTAAGGGTTGATAAGTCGGGCACAGATAGATGTCTTTGAGCAGCTACAAGGCTCTTAAGCTCCTATGAATCTGGGACATAGTTGCACGACAGCATTAACCTCTCAAAGGCTGTTAAATCAATGCCTGGTGAAATGCAGAAAGAGAGAATGGATGAGTAAAGAAAGGAAACAAAGCATATGATAGACAAGTTTTTTAATATAGTTTCATTTTAAGATTCGTCATATTTTGTCAACACTATGAGGTAGGAAGACTTTACATGTCTAGATTAGAAAATATTTATATATGCGGTTGAAGTATTTATGAAAATTATTTTAAGAAGGTACATGGGAAGTTTCACGTCTGTGCCTTAGTCTAAAACTACTTTATAAGGTTTAATTTTAGAATTCTCAGTTATAAAAGCAGAGTGCCTGAGACAATATATATTGGCTGATGAATAGAAGTTTTCAGCA